TGAATAATTTATAAAAAAAAATTGAAATCCTTCCTATTTGACTTAAATACTAATTTAATTGGCTAGTTATCTATGAACTATGTTATTTTTAAGATTTAATTATAAGAGAAATATTATTTAATTTTTTAACAAAAAAAAAAAATAAATAAATATGTGTGTCTAAAAGCCAATGAAATATGAAATTAGAAAAAAATAAAAAAATTAAAAAAAGCAACAAAATAAAACGAAAGTTATCACATAAGAGGAAAGGTCTTCCAATAGGTTTAGTCATAAAAAATGATTATTTAATTTTTTAGTAATAAATGGGTAAATAAACATTGTTTAATTGTAATTTAATTTCTTTTTCGGTGTATAGTTTATAATTTAGAATATTTAAATAATATAAAATAATAATAATTTAATTTAAACAAAATAAAATAATCATTGCAAAATCTTATGATTGGGCCCGACTTTCTTCCCTTTGGTTAGTCAGTCTATATTTGAATATCAAAAAAAAAAAATAGTTTTTAATTAATAATAAAAGGAAAAAAAGAACAAATCCCAACAAAGAAAACACAACAACAACAACCTTAAAATTGACAACAACCATAAACAAATTACTTTAATAAAATAAATTTAACAAAAAGAAAAGAAACATAACATCATAAATGTGTAGGTTAGCTAAAATTGGTAATTTAATAAAAATTAATAATAAACAACAAAAAAAAAACAAATAATATTAAAAATTAAAAAAAGAAAAACAAATAATTGGTATGACAATGAAAATTTGTATAGAACGAGAAAGTAATTAAGCCAAAAAGTAATAAAAAAACACTAAAGTTAGTTTAGAATAAATGAGAAATTGCATTACATGCAATTGCCTAAAAGTAGGCAACATGTTTTTCTCATACATTACCATACATTTCATAATAACAGGGTGATTCCAAGATAAATTTATTTAACTGATAGCAGTCTTTAACAAGGCGATACATATGTAATATTTTCAGGTTTTCGGATGTTTTAAATGTCGAAAACGTCATATATAACTGTATAAAATGTAGTAAACGTCATTAATATGAATATTTTCAATATTTACAGTTTTTTTAAGAATATATCATTTTCTGATTCATTTCTAACCATTCCTGAATATTTTGGACAAAATGTAAACATTTTTTGCCAGAAATATTTGAAATGTTGAAAGAAGTATTAAAAAACGAGCTGTAGGGCCAGACGAGCTATAAAAAAGAAGGAAGTCTTTATAGACCAGTAGAAACGAGTAGATTTTTCTATAGACGAACTGAAGGGAGTCTTTAAAGACTAGAATATCGATCGACAAGCTGAAGGGAGCCTTGAAGCTTTTTTTAGACGGACTGTAGTCGAGCAAATGGTAGCCTCTATGGACGAAATGAAGAGAGTCTCTTTAGATGAACTGAAGGAACTATGTAAGGACGCTAAAGCAGAACTCTATGGACGTCCTTAAGGTCGTAGTTATAGACGTCCTTAAGGAGACCTATATAGTCAACCTGAAGGAAACAATTATAGTCGAGCCGAAACGAGTCTCTATAGACGAACTAAAGGAAGCCTTTATGGGCGAGCTGAGGAGAATCTTTATAAGAGAGCTAAAGGGAGTCTTTATAGACAAGCTGAACGGAGTCCTTATAGACCAGGTGAAGGGAGGTTTTATAGACAAGCTAAAGGGAGTCTCTATAGAGGAGCTGAAAGGAGTGTCTGTGGGCTAGTTGCATGGAGTCTATAATTCGAGCTCAATTGAGCCTTTATAGGCGACCTGAAGGGAGTCTTTATAGACGAACTGAATAGAGTATCTAACGACTATCCAAAGGGAGTCTCTATATACGAGCTGAAGGGAGTATTTGTAGACGAGCTAAAGGGAGTCTTTATATACGAGCTAAAAAAAAATCTCCATAGAAGAACTTAAGGTAGTATTCATAGAAGAGCTAAATGGAGGTTTTATAAATCAGGTGAAAGGAGGTTTTATAGATGAGTTGAAATAAGTCTCTATAGACAAGCTGCAGTGAACCTTTATAGGCGAGCGGAAGCGAGTCTTTTTGAGCGACCTGAAGGCGGTCTTTATAAACGAGTCCTCATAGGCGAGATGAAGGGAGACTTTATAGACGGGCTGAAGGGAGTATTTATAGACAAACTGAAGGGAGTCTTTATAGATGAACTTAAGGGAGCCTTTATGGACCTGCTGAAGAGAGACTTTATAGACGAGCTGAACGGAGTCCTTATAGACCAGGTGAAGAGAAGTTTTATAGACGAGCTAAAGGGAGTCTCTATAGATGAGCTGAAATGAGTAACTGTGGACTAGCTGAACGGAGTCTTCACATTCGAGCGGAAATGAGCCTTTATAGGCGAGAGGAAGCGAGTCTTTGTATGCGACCTGAAGGAAGTGACGAACTGAATAATCTCTATAGACGAGCTTATGGGAATCTTTATATCCGAGTTGAAGGGAGTCTTTATTGACCAGTTGTCCCTATTAAAAAAACCTGCAGGGAGTCTTTACCGATTAGCTGAACGATGTTTCTAAAAATGAGCTGAATTAAATCTCTGGGAGACTTTTGGAGGAACTGAATGTAGACTTTAGAGGCGAGCGGAAGGAATTTTTTTAGACCTGGTAAATTAGACGTACTGCACGAATTATCTACGAGCTTAAAAAAGGAATGTCCAGAGAAGAGTCCAATCAGCGAAGTTCAACAATCAGAATAACTCCATAGACGAAGTAGAGGCGACGATCTCTAAACGAGCTATAGGGAGTCTTTAGCAGGGGGCAGAGAAATCTTTATAAACGAACTGAAGACCACAGAATCTGTACATACGAATCAGTATAAAAACCCTTCGGGGACTTCTATGGATTTCTTAGTGCTCTACTTTAATATTCACCGGCACAGAAGTACATTCAGATGTCCTAGGCGTGCACTATAAAATGAGGAGAGGATTCTTTATACGAACTAAAGGCCTCCTTAGGAAATCTTTATGAACGAACTAAAGTCCACGCAACACAAGAGGTGAAGGCCATGGAATCGTTATAGAAACCCATTTTTTAATAATTACACATTGGCTGGGCTCTGATAGTCCTTTTGGAATAAATATTCTTTACAAACGGCACGCCTAGGCTCGATAGTCCTTTTGGAATAAATATTCCTTACAAATGGCACGCCTAGGCTCTGATAGTCTTGGTAAAAATACTCTTTAAAAATCCACGCCTAGGCTCTGATAATCCTTGGTAAAAAATGAGTTTTAAAGCAACCACGCATAGGCTCCGATAGTCCTTGGTAAAAAATATTCTTCAAACACCATACTTAGCTCTGATAGTCCTGGGAAAGTAATAATCTTTAAAAAATCCACACATAGGCTGCGATAGTCCTTGGTAAACATATTATTTAAAATGTCGATGCCTAGGTTGGAAAAATAATCAATAGTACTTGAAAAAAATAATAATCCTTGGGAAAATAATAATTAATCAAAGCATATGATCTGATAGTCATGGATCAGAGGATCATGAAAATATTACTTAAAAAGGTCGTTGGAAAAATATTTTTTTTAATTTTTTTTTAAACTCTTGGGTATTCCTCGGGGAATATTTTGGTTACAAAATATGGCAACGTTGCTTCTGTATTTTATGTCACATTAAGAAATGATGCACCCTGTTACCTGTAACATATTACCCATTTAAACAATTTGCCTAAAAGTATGGTAAATATTGCAAATATTTTCATTTATTCTAAACTATCTTTTTTTGTGGTTATATTTTAAATTCTTTATAATTTTGTTTTCATACATATTTTTCTTTAATTCAAAAAGAAGAAAATTTAAACTGTGGTTAGTGATTTCAAAATAAATATATATTTTTTAAAACTATATTTCTCTATATAAAAAATCTTTGTACATTTTTTTAGTAAAAATATTTATATTAATTTTTTTCGAACACTTATAAACCACCACCACTACACACAACTAAACAGAGATACTATTTTTTAAAAGCAAAACTAAAACATAAAAAGAACACACAAAAAAATAACAACCACCGCCGCCACAACACTGGCCTACAAAATAACAGCGCTTTTGGCAATTCAAATAAAGAAAATACCTGATTTTTTATTTACAAATACATTTTCTATATATTTAAGTAACTATTTTATTATTTAGAAGAAGATTTTTAGTTAATAGAAAACAATTTTTTTAATTTTCCTATAAACGAAAACGAATGAGCTAAACTACAAGAATAAACAAACAACAACAAAACACTCCAAACTATAATGACTCTCGTATAGTAAAATAAATAAATAAAAAAATAATTTAATAAAATAAAATTAAATGAAAAAAACAAATATTTAAAAAATACAAGAAAACCACAATTGAATTACGAGTAATGTACAATATTTGTTATAGAATTATTTTTTTCATAAATTATCATAAAACCCAAAAAAAAAAACAACAACAACAATGAAAATGACAAGTAATTGATATTATTGAAGAAAAATACATTTAATAAAACGTAAATTGTAAAAAATAAAATTATAATGTTTTTAAATTAAGTATTGAAATGAAGTAAGTATTAAAAACTAAATAAAATTGAAACAGGAAGAACACTTTGGATGCTTCGAAAAAATAATTTTTAATAAATCCACGCCTTGTTGATTGTTAGAAATGAAATACAGCGGACACGTATGTTGTGTTCAGTTCAGACGTTTATTACAAAAGGTACAGAAAAATATTATGATACAAACACAAAATACAATATGAATACCAAAGCCTACTAGGTGAAATTATTTCGTTTGACTACAGAGTGTGTTCTCAACAGGTATGTTTTCAACACTTCCCCTCAAACCGAATATTATAATTATTCAACATTTTTTAAGTTCATTAATTCTACAAATTTCTTATGTTTAATTTTGTGCAAATTCTTAGTGAATATATCCGCAATCATTTCATTAGTGTTGACATATTTAAGTTAAATTTGCTTCTTACATATTTCATCGCGAACGTGATGATATTTGATATCAATTCGTTGCCAACTTCATAGCACCTTGATTATCAACGTTTAGAATCACTGCTTTGTTCTCAACACCTTCGAGTTCATATAGCACCCTTTTTAAATATACAGCTTCTCGAGCAGCATTTGATATTGATATATACTCTGCCTCTGTGCTACTCAACGCTACTACACGTTGCTTTTTAGATTCCCATGAAATCAAACACTCTCCATAATAAAATAAGAATCGTGTATAGGATTTTTTATCAATGGGGTTACCTCCCCAATCTGCATCCGCATAACCGCACAATTCTTTTTTACCATCCTTGTACTCAATCTTCAATTCAGCAGTACCAGCCAAATACCTTAATATTTTCTTGCCTGCATTAAAATGTTCAATGTGAGGGTCGCTATTTTTCTGCGATAGCTTCGCTACTGAATGTACAATATCGGGACGAGTTGTGATCGCCAAATACATTAGCTCCCCCATTAATGTTTGATATGCTTGTATATCAGCTCGTTTGCAATCTTTGTCACATGCGACTTGAAAACCAGGATCAAGTGGGGTTGCCACTGTCTTGCATTCCTCCATACTGTATTTTTTCAACAAATTCTTAATATACTGCATAATACTCACTGTTAAACTTCCTGTTTCCCCGTCTCTATTAATTTCCATGCCAAGAAAATGTTGAATCGCTGATGTCAAATTCGCTAAATATAGCACGCTTCACTTGCAGCAGAATAGACTTGTTTGCACAACCAATTAAGATGTCGTCGACATACACAGCTACTATAACCATTTCACCATTGATTTTCATCTTATATAAGCAGGGCTCATTATTGCATGAAGTAAATCCGATGTCTTTTAAGCACATGTCAAGCTTGGCGTTCCATTCTCTGCCTGATTGCTTTAGGCCATAAAGCGACTTCTTTAATCGTAGAACCTTATCTGGAAACTTATCATCCACAAACATTTCTGGCTGCTGCATATAAATCTCTTCATGCAGATCTCCATGTAAATATGCGCTTACCACGTCCAACTGATGTAAATGCATTTTATTTTGTACTGCTAGGCTCAAAAACAATCTAATATTTGAATACCTAATCACCGGAGAAAAAGTTTCTTTGTAGTTCACGCCGTATTGCTGACTACAGCCCTTAGCGACCAGCCTGGCTTTATACCTCTCTATTGCTCCGTCTATGTTTGTCTTAATGGCATACACCCATTTGCAGCCAATAACTTTCTTCCCAGTTGGTAAATCAACTAATGACCATGTCTCATTTTTCTTCAGGGCATCATATTCAACTTGCATGGCTTTCTTCCATTCGTCCGATTTTACACAATTCATGGCGTCTTCGGGAGTTTGAGGTACAAATTCTACTTCATCTGATAATCCACTCACCACATTGAATTGCTTCCTAGGCCTTCCCCTATTTCCATCTCGAATTATTTTCGGTCTTCCACGACCTATTCTCTGCTCTCCTCGATTCAAATTTTCTTCCAAATCATTAGTTTCCTCAGCAATTTGTTGAATTTTTACTTCGTCTTCTTCTGTAATATCACTACTCTCTTCGGCGGTGTTGAAATCCTCTTCCTGATCTTCAATTCCATCTGAATCCGGATTAGTTTCGGGCAAATCTGAACCTTGTTCGTTTTCGTTATCCAAAACCATATAATATGAATCCTTATCTTCGAATCTAGCCCCGTTTTGGACACTACTGGAATTTTGAAGACAATTTTCATCAAAAATTACGTCGCGTCTCTCAATCACGGTTTGAGTACTACTATCGTATAAACGATATGCCTTTGCAACTAATGAATAGCCAATCATTATATATTGCTTCCCCTTGGGATCAAATTTCGATCTCCTTCCTTTATTCAAAGCTACAGCACATGCACCAAATACTTTGAGATGACTAACCTTTGGCTTCCTTCCATACCATACCTCGTTGTTGATGCTTCGAAAAAATAATTTTTAATAAATCCACGCCTTGTTGATGCTTCGAAAAAATAATTTTTAATAAATCCACGCCTTGTTGATGCTTCGAAAAAATAATTTTTAATAAATCCACGCCTTGTTGATGCTTCGAAGAAATAATTTTTAATAAATCCACGCCTTGTTGATGCTTTGAAAAATATTTTCTAAAAATCCCCTTCCTCTTGAATAAGTAAAAAAAACACACACAATAAAATATTTGGATTTATTTTTTGTAATTTATTTTCAATAAATTTATAGAAGTTTTTTTCTCATTTTTTTATTTTGAATTTATATTTTAATGATTCTTTTTGCATTGTTTTTTGTTGCATTTTTTCAATTACAATGAGTTCTTTTTTTCTATTATATATTTTAATTCAATGAATTTTTATTATTTTTCGGTTTGTTTTTTTTTATGTGGTAATATTCGCCACCACATAATACAAATAGAACTGAATTACTGTGGTGTATTAATGAATGCGGTTTTTTCTTCTTCTGCGGTTCAAATATTTTATGATTATTTGTTTTTTGTTTTTTATTATTTCGACAATGACATTGAAAACTACTTTAGATTTAAATCCATATGTTGTTTTTTACTATTGTTTTTGTTTTATTTGTTTCTTTCTTCTTTTGTGAATTTTTCCTATAAATATTGGATGTTTTTTTGCTGTTGTTTTTTTATATTCAGTACTCCCATAATTTATTTATGATTTAATTCTATAAATTTTTTATTTATTTATTCATTTAATGCAAATGTGTGTGTGTTTGGTGGAGTTCATGGAGTTTTTATTGTTTTAAATGTTTTTGTTGTTCGATTTTTGTGACAAAAGTTCTGCAGGATTTTAAAGGTTCAATATATATATGTATGTAAGTATCAATGGTATATTTTTTCGCTTGTATAATTTTCAGTTAATTCTATAAACGACACTTATTATTGACTTTTTTAAATGCGTTAAACTTTTGAGGCTCTGGGATAAAATTTTAAAAATTCATTCTAATAAATATTTGTGAAAGGCCGTTAAAAATTAAATTAAGAATATTCTTATTTGTTAATCCAAAATTTCATTTGTAATTCAAAATATCATCACCTCCAAAGGGATCATAAGTCAAAATTTCAGGATTTCAACCCTATCGCTTCACCCATAATTTAAATTGTACCAAATTTAGTACACAGTAGTACCAATTTCCAAAACTTCCTACATAAATCAATCTTACACCTCAACAGTGATCCTGACTCCAAATTTCATGATGCTAGCTCTATTGGTTCACCTAAAATTCAAATTGTACCAAATTTAGTACCATTTAGTACCCATAAGTATTATTATTTTTTTAATCCTGAACCCAATCCTCCACCCCTACATTGATCCTGACTCAATTTTTTTTTTATTCTCACTCTATCGGTTCACCCAAATCCAAATTGTACCAATTATAGTACGATTTAGTAATTTTCGTACACATAAGTAACGAATTTCCAAAACTACGTACATATCCCAATCTTACACTTTGACGGTAATGTTAATATCAATTTTCAGGATTCAAGCTCGCTTTGTACCTCTAAATTAAATTTGTACCAAATATAGTACCATATCGTACTTTTCGTACACATGAGTACACTGTGTACAAAACAATCTCCTTATATCGACCCTACTTCCCAATCCTAATTCACATTTCAAATTTATAGCTCTATCCATTCACATGCTACGAAATTGTACCAAATTTAGTACATTTTAGTAATTTTCGCATTCTTATAGTTCGAATGTCCCAAAAATTCTCCACTCCATCAGAGTTCTAGCTCTGATGAATAATCAGTCAGTTGTGAGATTTTTGGTACCCCTGACATTTGCTATGAACTTCAAAGATCTCTTCAAACCTTCACTCCAGCAGCGACTCCAAACCAACATTCCGGATTTTAGTTCTATACGTCCACTCAATTCAAGTATATTTGATAGCATTTTAGTACAAGTTCGAGATCTAAAATATCCAGTCTTTGTGAAATTTATTTGACAAAATTTTTAGTACCAATTTAAATCCTACAGACGTACATTCAAATTCCGGCGCTTATTCCATTTACGAGTTTTTGTGAAATGGGTAGTATTTTGGGGGCGATTAGTAACCTAATAATTAGTATTAATTAGTCATATATAGTTGTGTCGTTCGGGAACGAACCAGTTCAAATTAACTATTCCGCAAAAGGAACAATCGGTACTCAAGTTTCCTTTGCTCCAATCGTTCATCCAGATCATGGCACAATTAATAGGTAGTCCATTTACCGCAGCTGATGTCTTGATTAACTCTCAAAGTTGTTAATTTTACTTGAATTCGATGTGCAAAGTTGCCAATCGTGTGAAATATTATAAGGAAAATTTTCACATGGTTGGCAACATTGCACATCGAATTCAAGTAGAAATTACGCACTTTGAAAGTTAATCGAGTCATCGGCTGAGCTAAATAGACTACCTTTTTATTGTGCCATAATCCAGATCTTGCCGTTCATCGGTCATATTAACGGACAATTGGACTAATGGGAACTATGGAATTGAATGACCTAGCTCCTTTTACGGAGAACGAGATTGCTTGATTTAACTAAAACAATTATCATAAGAAAATTCATCCCACACCAGTTTTAGTTGGGACTTTCCAAATCAGGAAAATTACTTTAGAAATTCGCCAAACTCAAGGTTCCAACCATAATTGTAATACCAAACTTCAAGGTTTACATTCACTTAATACTAATTTGAATAAAATTAGTTCCTTTTATATTCTTTTAGTACGAATTTGCAAAATCACATTTTTATCTCAACCTTTACACCATCACTCCAACATCGACCTTCATACCAAAATTTAAGATTTTAGTCCACTCAATTCTAGTAACAAATTTAAATCTCGAGCTATGATACCATTAGTACCAATTAAAATCCTATAGAATTACATTCTAATTCCGAATATTTACAATTTGTAAAATAATTTGGTCTGTTCCCGTACTGCAAGAATCTACGGTTTTCTTCGATATCATAGAGGAAAAATCATTATCATAGTAAAATTATTAGTACCAAAAATTGCATATTTCACTCGCACATTTGAGGAATCCTTTAGTATTGGATCACTCCGGAACGAAATTGTTCAAATAAGCTATTCCCGAAAAGGAACGATAGGTACTACGTCCGGTTCATTCATTCATCTTTTGTTTTTGATCCAAAAGATCATCTAAATCTACTCGTTCATTGGCTGAACTAATCGATTTGTGACAATAAACGATTGAACTATGAAACTAAATTAATAACCTAGTCCCATTTGTAGAGCGAACCGAAAAACTTCAAACAGTTTCAGGCACGAAATTTTAATTAAACTTGGCATTTCGTAATAATCTTTCCAAACATAGGTCAAGTTCAAAGATGCATAATATCGAACGACCTATTTTGTGTATAATTGCATGCGGGATGAGTATCTATTATGCTGCAATGGGTAACATATTTGTATTAATCCTCAAATAACATACGAAGAGAATTTAGTATCCGATATGATTCAAACATCCTAATAAATGTTATGTAAACTGGATAATCAATACCTCTAACGAAATTTCAACATTAAAAAAATAAAATATGAGGATGTAAACTTT